CCACCGGAGCGACTACCGGCCTAATAGCACCAGGAGCAAGGTGTGCAGTGCGTACGAGCAGAGTTTGCAACGCCTGAGCGAACTGATCCAACAGGTGATCCTGTTGATCGAGTCTGGCGACTAGCGTTGGGAGCGAAGGCGTGCCTGCACCGTCAGGGTTCAATGGCACTTGTGTAATGTCAGGGCAGGAGCCGAGGAACGGACAGGCAGGCCTAATAACAATGTAACGCACTGGCTGACGACAACCACCACCCACAGACCGAAGTCCCTCAGGGCGCGGAGTCTAAGTCCCAGGCTGCCCTTCACCAGGGCCCCTGATGGTGGGGATGGACTTGACGCAGCCAGGAACCAGGTCGCGGCCCCCCGAGACACCTCAGCTGCGGTAATGGCCGCCGCCAATGGCGTGTAACTGGTGGAAAGAGACAAAAGAGTAGTCAGACAAGCCGGGGTCAACAACAACAGGACAAAACGGTACAGGACAGCAGACAAGAATCACAGGTCACGAGCCGGGTTCAGCAACAGAGGATCAGATCAAAGGAGAATACACAAAGAATAGTCAAGTCACAAGCCGAATCAGATACCAGGAGAGTCACGAGAGTCAGAAACAGAGTAATAGCGACACAAAGACACAAGACACAGGTGCAAAGAGCATGTGCGGGTCACAGGCTTATATGTCATCAGCCACACCCCTCTGGGGGGTGGACCTCAGAGACCTGAAGGCATAAAAGGATTCCCATCATGCACAGCAGAATCCAAGATGGATGCCAGCACATGGAGTAACATAACCTCAGGGAAAAGGTAGGACCTTGACATCATGGTCAGTGCCACGCCATGAATCCTCATGGTCAATTCCAGACCACAACTTCTCATGGTCAGTGCCACACTTTGAATCCTTATGGTCGATGATACACATCAAATCCTCATGGTCAAATCCATATCCCCTTCTGACCACCTGTACTTCCACCTTCAGTAAAAAGAGAGATGGACAATTTCTCAGTATCTGTGCACCATTAGTATTCCAGATTTTAGTAGACTTCTCTCTACAGCTTTCTGTGTCAGTGGGAAACGTCAAGAACATGGCACATCCACGATTGGGATGGGTCCACCAAGAAGAGCCATTCTCCATCCTTACGCATCTAAGCTAGCTCCTTTTCTGGGAGTGTCTAACTATTGACTATGCTGGCCCAGCTCCTCCAGCCATCCGTTCACCTCCCTACATAAACATTATTGGGGAAGAAACAAAGGGAATACTGTGGAGTGACACGTGAGTGACAGCTGAGTCTGCTGGGGCTGTTGACATTAGAAGGTGCAGAAGTCTCAGGGCTTTTGGATTTGTCCACAAATGCAGTGAGTCCCTTCCGGCACTTTATTGCACTCAGGAGGGACAGATGTGGGGTCCTTCCCTGCTTCAGGCAGCCTGTCAAAGTCTATGGCAGGCTGCGGATGAACGCTATGCCTAGGAGTACCAGCATTTAGGGCCCTCTCCATTGAATGAACAAGGCCCCAGTCACTGGTACCACTCAATACAACATCCAGCCCCCATCCAGCCGCAACCTGCCAAAGACTTTGACAGGCTGCCTGCTGCAGGGGCTGGTCGCTGCCCCTGTCCCCCCATCCCCCCCATGCTTACCTGGGTGCAATAAAATGTCAGGAGGGGTGCACTGCAGCCGGGGAAGAGGGCGGAGCTAAAGGAAAATGATCTGCTCTCTACTAGCTTCATTGGAGGGCAGCTGAGGTATCGGGTCTATTAACCCCCTGATTCCTCATTAACCACTTTACTACCGTGCTATAGCTGAATGACGGCTACAGGGGCCCGCACCCGGCACTCTCTGTGATCGCTGTGTCCTTTGGAAACAGCTGATCACATGACATAGTAACAGGCCAGTCAAAGCAGCCTTTTGCCATGTGATCAGCTGTGTCCAATCACAGCTGACCTCTATGTAAATACACAAATACACAGCAGTACTTTCCTCACGCCGTCACTGCGTACCGAATGTGCTACCAGTAACCGGCAACTGTCAAAGGAGACATCTACACTGACAATTAGGGCAGCCCCAAAAGTGCCCAACAGTGCTGTCCATCAGTGCCCAACAGTGCTGTCCATCAGTGCCCAAGGGTGCTGTCCATCAGTGCCCAAGGGTGCTGTCCATCAGTGCCCAAGGGTGCTGCCCATCAGTGCCCAAGGGTGCTGCCCATCAGTGCCCAACAGTGCTGCCAGTCTTTGCCCATCAGTACCACCTATCAGTGCCCATCAGTTCCGCATATCAGTGCCTCCTCATCAATGCCCACCAGTGCTCACTATCAGTGCCGCCTCAACAGTGCCCATCAGTGCTAGGCAGGAAGGGGGTAGAAGTGCCTGGTAGGCAGGAAGGGGGTAGAAGTGCCTGGTAAGCAGGAAGGGGGTAGAAGTGCCTGGTAGGCAGGAAGGGGGTAGAAGTGCCCGGTAGGCGGGAAGGGGGTAGAAGTGCCCTGTAGGCAGGAAGGGGGTAAAAGTGCCCTGTAGGCAGGAAGGGGGTAGAAGTGCCCTGTAGGCAGGAAGGGGGTAGAAGTGCCCTGTAGGCGGGAAGGGGGTAGAAGTGCCCTGTAGGCGGGAAGGGGGTAGAAGTGTCCTGTAGGCGGGAAGGGGGTAGAAGTGCCCTGTAGGCGGGAAGGGGGTAGAAGTGCCCTGTAGGCGGGAAGGGGGGGTAGAAGTGCCCGGTAGGCGGGAAGGGGGTAGAAGTGCCCGGTAGGCGGGAAGGGGGTAGAAGTGCCCGGTAGGCGGGAAGGGGGTAGAAGTGCCCTGTAGGCAGGAAGGGTGTAGAAGTGTCCGGTAGGCAGGAAGGGGGGTAGAAGTGTCCTGTAGGCAGGAAGGGGGTAGAAGTGTCCTGTAGGCAGGAAGGGGGTAGACGTGCCCTGTAGGCAGGAAGGGTGTAGAAGTGTCCGGTGGTAGGCAGGAAGGGGTAGAAGTGTCCTGTAGGCAGGAAGGGGGTAGAAGTGTCCTGTAGGCAGGAAGGGGGTAGAAGTGTCCTGTAGGCAGGAAGGGGGTAGAAGTGCCCTGTAGGCAGGAAGGGTGTAGAAGTGTCCGGTAGGCAGGAAGGGGGGTAGAAGTGTCCTGTAGGCAGGAAGGGGGTAGAAGTGTCCGGTAGGCAGGAAGGGGGTAGAAGTGTCCTGTAGGCAGGAAGGGGGTAGAAGTGTCCTGTAGGCAGGAAGGGGGTAGATGTGCCTGGTAGGCAGGAAGGGGGTAGAAGTGTCCTGTGGGCGGGAAGGGGGTAGAAGTGCCCTGTGGGCGGGAAGGGGGGTAAAAAGTGCCCTGTGGGCGGGAAGGGGGCAGAAGCGCCCGGTGGGCAGGAAGGGGGTAGAAGCGCCCTGTAGGCGAGGGGTTAAAGAGAACCTGATGCCTCCATAAAGTGAACCTGTCACAACATGTATGCTGTAACATGATGTGAACATGAAAACAAATGTTCAATGCCCTCCACCCCCACCTAGAAAAACGCATGCGTTGGGGTGCATTCCTCCCACTGTCACCAATGATGGGGCACTATTCCTCCCACTGATACCAATGATGGGGTACTATTCCTCCCACTGATACCAATGATGGGACACTATTCCTCCCACTGACACCAATGATGGGGTACTATTCCTCCCAGTGACACCAATGATGGGGTACTATTCCTCCCAGTGACACCAATGATGGGGCACTATTACTCCCACTGACACCAATGATGGGACACTATTCCTCCCACTGACACCAATGATGGGACACTATTCCTCCCACTGACACCAATGATGGGACACTATTCCTCCCACTGATACCAATGATAGGGCACTATTCCCCCCACTGATACCAATGATGGGGCGCTATTCCTCCCACTGACACCAATGATGGGGCACTATTCCTCCCACTGATACCAATGATGGGGCACTATTCCCCCCACTGACACCAATGATGGAGCACTATTCCTCCCACTGACACCAATGATGGGGCACTATTCCCCCCACTGACACCAATGATGGGGCACTATTCCCCCCAGTGACACCAATGATGGGGCACTATTCCTCCCAGTGACACCAATGATGGAGCACTATTCCTCCCACTGACACCAATGATGAGGTGCCATTCCTCCCACTGACACCAATGATGAGGTGCCATTCCACCCACTGACACCAATGATGAGGTGCCATTCCACCCACTGACACCATTGATGAGGTGCCATTCCTCTCACTGACACCAATGATGAGGTGCCATTCCACCCACTGACACCAATGATGAGGTGCCATTCCTCCCACTGACACCAATGATGAGGTGCCATTCCTCCAACTGACACCAATGATGAGGTGCCATTCCTCCCACTGACACCAATGATGGAGCACTATTCCTCCCACTGACACCAATGATGAGGTGCCATTCCTCCCACTGACACAGATAATTAACTTTACTGTATAAATACTGAAATTTTTGGTTTCCTAAACCATTGCAACATTATGGTACGACATAAAAGATTGGACCTACCACCATTATATTCTCCAGGGTCTCTACTTTCAGAAAATATTCAACACTCCATGCAGCTAGTGGCTTTGGTGGGACTTCAGAAGCCAAGAGCAATGCGCATTTACCCATGCGGATGGTGTGAGATGTTTTTGGTGTGTTTGTCTTCCAGCGGCTGAGGGCCTCAATCTGTGCTACGTGGCCAGCACCTACTCCACCTGCTCCGTGGAAGAGATCGTGGCTGCAGCCCCTGAAGGGCCACGTTGGTTCCAGCTCTACGTGTACCGTGACCGCAAGCTGTCCGAGGGGTTGGTGCATCGGGCGGAGGCTCTGGGTTTCAAGGCTTTGGTGTTGACCGTGGACGTCCCGTATACAGGCAAGAGGAGGAGCGACATACGAAACAACTTTCGTCTCCCGCCGCATCTCAAGGTCAAAAACTTTGAAGGAGTTTTTGAGGTGAGATTTTCTTTTTCCTTTTACAGTGGGGCAAAAAAGTATTTAGTCCCCACCAATGGTACAAGTTCTCCCACTTACAAAGATGAGAGAGGCCTGTAATTGGCATCATAGGGAGACCTCAACTATGAGAGACAAAATGAGAAAACAAATCCAGACAATCTCATTGGCTGATCTGGAAAGAATTTATTTGCAAATTATGGTGGAAAATAAGTATTTGGTCACCTAGAAACAAGCAAGATTTCTGGCTCTCACAGACCTGGACCTTCTTCTTTAAGAGGCTCCTCTGTCCTGCACTCATTACCTGTATCAATGGCACCTGTTTGAACTTGTTATCAGTATAAAAGACATCGCTTCTCGGCCTTTTGGCTAAGATCAAGTGTAGTATCTGTTCTTATCAGTGTCCAGTGGGGGTGCTACCGACCATTCTAGTTTACGGGGATGGTTGTTGTATAGTACCCTCACTGGTATGATGGGGGTCTGGATGGCTATTACGGGGAGGACAGAAACCGGGGAGCGCCATGATTCGTTCTGGGGCCTCGGGAGTAATTCTCCTTTGGAACGTCTGAAGGACCCAGTTGCCTCCTGATTTGGACGGTCTACCTTGGTCTGGCCTGGGGCTGGGAAGGCAGAGAGTCCGCAAACTAGGTGCCCCCTGAGTAGTCGCCTCAGGGGTGCTCTAAGTAACACTTGGGTGTGGGACCCCATGCTGTGAATGAGCACATGGTCACCAAGTTTAAACACTTTTTGCACTGCGCCTCTAGGACCGGGCCTTTTGGTCAAGTTCTGGGCAATTTTTTTGCTACAGGCCTCAGGGTCTGGTCAGTGCACAATTTGGGCACGACACTTTTTTTTATTTTTATAGATTTATTTATTTAATTATTTATTTATTTATTTTTCCTCACCCCACGTTTGTCACTTTTTACTTTTGTGTGTGTTTTTCTCACAGGATGGAGGGTGTGGGTCCTCGGGCCTACCCTGACGTCTAGGGGGAGGGATGTGTGGCCATACGGTTCCTTCCTCCCCTGTCCCTAGGGGGTTTTCTCTTCGGGAGAACCCCCTGACCTAGTACTGGATGTCCGGCTTCGGCTGGGCATAAGGAACGGTGGTCCACCAGGCCTTTTGGCCAGGAGGACCAAATGGGAACCTTGTCCCTGTCAGGAGCTTCGTGCCCCGGGGGATCAGGGTAACGGTTCAACCCCTTCGGGGGTAGGACAAAAGCACACCCCTAAGTGCACTTTTTGTGTGGTGTTTTGCACTTGCACTTTTTTTGTGAACACTTACGGGTTTTTTCGTTATAGTTGCACGTTTGCGGACTTAAAAAAAAAAAAAAAAAAAAAAAAAAAACCTGTCCACAACCTCAAACAGTCACACTCCAAACTCCACTATGGTGAAGACCAAAGAGCTGTCGAAGGACACCAGAAACAAAATTGTAGACCTGCACCAGGCTGGGAAGACTGAATCTGCAATAGGCAAGCAGCTTGGTGTGAACAAATCAACTGTGGGAGCAATAATTAGAAAATGGAAGACATACAAGACCACTGATAATCTCCCTCGATCTGGGGCTCCACGCAAGATCTCACCCCGTGGGGTCAAAATGATCACAAGAACGGTGAGCAAAAATCCCAGGACCACACGGAGGGACCTAGTGAATGACCTGCAGAGAGCTGGGACCAACGTAACAAAGGCTACCATCAGTAACGCACTACGCCGCCAGGGACTCAGATCCTGCAGTGCCAGACGTGTCCCCCTGCTTAAGCCAGTACATGTCCGGGGCCCCTCTGAAGTTTGCTAGAGAGCATTTGGATGATCCAGAAGAGGATTGGGAGAATGTCATATGGTCAGATGAAACCAAAATAGAACTGTTTGGTAGAAACACAACTCGTCGTGTTTGGAGGAGAGAGAATGCTGAGTTGCATCCAAAGAACACCATACCTACTGTGAAGCATGGGGGTGGCAACATCATGCTTTGGAGCTGTTTCTCTCCGCAAAGGGACCAGGACGACTGATCCATGTACAGGACAGAATGAATGGGGCCATGTATCGTGAGATTTTGAGTGCAAACCTCCTTCCATCAGCAAGGGCATTGAAGATGAAACATGGCTGGGTCTTCCAACATGACAATGATCCCAAACATACCGCCCGGGCAACGAAGGAGTGGCTTCGTAAGAAGCATTTCAAGGTCCTGGAGTGGCCTAGCCAGTCTCCAGATCTCAACCCCATAGAAAACCTTTGGAGGGAGTTGAAAGTCCGTGTTGCCCAGCGACAGCCCCAAAACATCACTGCTCTAGAGGAGGTCTGCATGGAGGATGGGCCAACATACCAGCAACAGTGTGTGCCAACCTTGTGAAGACTTCCAGGAAACGTCTGACCTCTGTCATTGCCAACAAAGGATATATAACAAAGTATTGACATGAACTTTTCATATTCACCAAATACTTATTTTCCACCATAATTTGCAAATAAATTCTTTCCAGATCAGCCAATGAGATTGTCTGGATTTGTTTTCTCATTTTGTCTCTCATAGTTGAGGTCTCCCTATGATGCCAATTACAGGCCTCTCTCATCTTTGTAAGTGGGAGAACTTGCACCATTGGTGGGGACTAAATACTTTTTTGCCCCTCTGTATGTAACTTTTACTTTCGGGATAATAACGGGCCGTATTGGGAGGAGAGGAAATATGAGGCTTACTGAAGGGTTTCAAATAGAATCAAATAGATTTGTTTGGTGATTTTATTTTAGGAAGGGTCAAACTCTAAGAGATATGATGGCTCCAGATTTGGTGTTACATTAGAGACTTCCAGCAAGTTGTCCTCGGTTCATCGGTTCCATCGGCCATCCCATGTGCCCCTTACCCCATCCAAGTTGATATCCCCCTAATAAAACATCAAAAACAAGCTCAAGGACTGAATACTGACTCCTGGATGCAAGTCTGTGGAAAATGCGTGTTGCCTGTCTGTGCAGGACTATAGGGGGACCCAAATCTATTGCAACTCCTAAGGGGTTAGTGCTGCACAGAATATTATGTGTGGCCCCGGGTGATGCCAGGGGCCCCAATCTCTAGTAAGTTGGCCCGCACTGGTCTAACCCTCCCACACGCCAGGCAAATCTTTAGATATATTTTACTCTTCTCTCTGTAGAATCAATGCGGTCCTGACAACTACGGTGTCCCGGCCAACACCCTGGACCCTTCTATCAGCTGGAAGGATATTTATTGGCTCCAGAATCTGACTCGCCTACCAATCATCATCAAGGGAATACTGACAAAGGAAGACGCGGAGTTGGCGGTAGAGCACGGTGTCCAAGGCATCATCGTATCCAATCATGGGGGGCGCCAGCTGGACGGAGAACTCGCCACGGTATGTAAAATACTTGGGGAGGGAGATACAACACCGGCTTGGAAGCAGTGGTCTCTCTGCAGAGGTCTGACGTGCTCCCCTGAGTCAGAGCTGACTTGTCATGGACAGGGGCATGTATCCACAGGAAGAGGGCCTGTCTAGGTCTAGGAGATTACAGGAGCATACCAGAGAGTATGGGAATGCGGGGGGGGGGGGGGTGTCACTAAGGAATACTGGGTGCAAAAGGAGTCACTGTCACTGGACAACACAGGGCACAATAAAGTCACATGGGGTCATGGGGCGACACAAGATGCTCAGGGTGCTCTGAATTCACTGGGGTCATGGGGTGGTCAGGGTGCTCTGAATTCACTGGGGTCATGTGGTGTCACAAGAATGTCACAGTTCTCTGGAGTCAGAGGAGAAATGGGGTGCAACAGGATGCTCAGGGTGTTCTGAAGTCATTGTGGTCATGGGGTGTTCAGGGTGTTCTGAATTCATTGGGGTCATGGAGTAGTCGGGGTGCTCTGGATTCCATGGGTTCATGTGGTGTCACAAGAAGGTCACAGTTCTCTGGAGTCAGAGGAGCCATGGGGTGACACAGGATGCTCAGGGCAGTCTGGAGTCACAAGGGCTAATGCAGGAAACTCACAATGCTGTGGAGTCAGTAAAGTCATGGGGTGACATGGAATTCTCAGGGTGCTTTGGAGTCATGGAGTGTCTCAGGATGTCATGGGTTGACCCAGGATGCTTTGCAGTCACTGGGGTCATGGGGTATCACAGGATGCTTAGAGTGCTCTGGGGCCACTAGTGTCATGGGGGTGTGCCAAGATGATCAAAGTGCCCTGAAATCACTGGGTCATGGGGTAATGTAGGGTGCTCTAGAGTCATGGGGTGTGTCAGGTTGATCAAGTTGCCCTGAATTCACTGGGGTCATGGGGTTACACAGGATGCTCAGGACACGTTAGATTCTCAGGGCACTCTGTGGGATGTGGGATTCTCAGGGCACTCTGTGGGATGTGGGATTCTCAGGGCACTCTGGAGTCCTGGGCTCATGGGGTTACATCAGATGCTCAGGGTTCTCTGGAGTCGCAGGGGTCATGGGGTGATATGGGATTCTCAGGGTACTTAGGGGTCACTAGTGTCAAGGGGTGATGCAGGGTGCTCCAGAGTGATGGGGTGTGTCAGGATGATCAAGGTGCCCTGTAGTCGGTGCTCATAAGGTGACACAGGATGCTCTGGGCGCTCTGGAGTCATGGGGGTGACATGGGAATCTTGGGGTTCTCTGGAGTCACTAGGGTCATGGGAAGACAGAGGATTCTCAGGGTACTTAGGAATCACTGGGATCATGGGGTGACATTGGATTCTCAGGGTTCTCTGCAGTCACTAGGGTCATGGGGTGACAGGGTTTTCTGGAGTCACTGGAGTCATGGGGTGACATGGGATTCTCAGGGTACTTAGGAACCACTGGGGTCATGGGGTGACATAGGATTCTCAGGGTTCTCTGGAATTACTAGGGTCATGGGGTGACATGGGATTCTCAGGGTACTTAGGAGTCACTGGGGTGACATGGGATTCTCAGGGTACTTAGGAGTCACTGGGGTCATGGGGTGACATGGGATTCTCAGGGTACTTAGGAGTCACTGGGGTCATGGGGTGACATGGGATTCTCAGGGTTCTCTGGAGTCACTGGGGTCATGAGGTGACATGGGATTCTCAGGGTTCTCTGGAGTCACTGGGGTCATGAGGTGCCATGGGATTCTCAGGGTTCTCTGGAGTCATGGGGTGACGGGATTCTCAGGGTTCTCTGCAGTCACTAGGGTCATGGGGTGATATGGGATTCTCAGGGTATTTAGGTGTCACTGGGGTCATGGGGTGACATGGGATTCTCAGGGTTCTCTGCAGTCACTAGGGTCATGGGGTGATATGGGATTCTCAGGGTATTTAGGTGTCACTGGGGTCATGGGGGGTGACATGGGATTCTCAGGGTTCCCTGGAGTCACTGGGGTCATGGGGTGACATGGGGTTCTCAGGGTACTTAGGAGTCACACGGTTAATGGGGCGATGAAGGATGGCAGCAAAGAGGAGAGCTGTCTCCTGACTCGCATTAGTGCCAACATTCCAGATGGTCATGCTCCAAAGAGGTGACCTGGCACTGGAGTGGAGGAGAGGGGAGTGTGACAAATCCAATCAGCAAGGAGCTTGAGCATTGCAGATTGTAGAATGGTAGGTGAAGACTCTGGCTGTATTATGGTCACCTCATTCACCCCGGAAGGGCACAGCCCGGGCATCACTCTAAAATTTCAGCAGATGTATTTCAGAGGTAAAGCTTCTAGTACAGTGAACCTCCAGACATTGCAGGGGATGCCCATGACGGGGCATCAGGTTCTGTGCAGTAAATGAACACAATATAGGTGTCTGGACCAGGGGCGGACTGACAACTCATGGGGGCCCCGGGCAATAGGGGATCATGGGGCCCCTGTGTCCTTGCCCAAACTCAAAAAAGCCTATGAAAAAGGTATCGGGGGCATCTCATGGGGCCCCCTACTGACCCCAGGCCCTCGGGCAGTGCCCGAGTTTCCAAATGGTCATTCCGCCCCTGGTCTGGACTGTATTACTGACTGTTTGTGGCTCATGTTTCTGAGGCTGTCCAAACCTTTTCACAGATTGATGCTCTTTCCGAGATCGTGGAGGCGGTCCAGGGCCGCATTGAGGTGTACATAGATGGCGGCATAAGAACAGGAAGTGATGTCCTGAAGGCCTTGGCCCTGGGGGCAAAGTGTGTGTTCATTGGACGGCCCATTGTGTGGGGTCTCGCCTACAAGGTCTGTCTACAAAGATACCTTTATTGTCCAATTATGAATTCTTGAAATTTTTTATAGACCGGATACATCCTAAATATAGAGCCATTTACCCAACCGTCCAATCAGAGCCTCTGGTTTATAGACCGGATACATCCTAAATATAGAGCCATTTACCCAACCGTCCAATCAGAGCCTCTGGTTTATAGACCGGATACGTCCTAAATATAGAGCCATTTGCCCAACCGTCCAATCAGAGCCTCTGGTTTATAGACCGGATACGTCCTAAATATAGAGCCATTTGCCCAACCGTCCAATCAGAGCCTCTGGTTTATAGACCGGATACGTCCTAAATATAGAGCCATTTACCCAACCGTCCAATCAGAGCCTCTGGTTTATAGACCGGATACGTCCTAAATATAGAGCCATTTGCCCAACCGTCCAGTCAGAGCCTCTGGTTTATTTAGAGACCGGATACGTCCTAAATATAGAGCCATTTGCCCAACCGTCCAATCAGAGCCTCTGGTTTATAGACCGGATACGTCCTAAATATAGAGCCATTTACCCAACCGTCCAATCAGAGCCTCTGGTTTATAGACCGGATACGTCCTAAATATAGAGCCATTTACCCAACCGTCCAATCAGAGCCTCTGGTTTATAGACCGGATACATCCTAAATATCGAGCCATTTATCCAACCGTCCAATCAGAGCCTCCAGCTGGCCGGTGCTTGCAGCTGGCTACACAGGAAGGCGCCCCGCTGGCTCTTCCCACCTCATCCAGTTTGCCTGCATTTAGTAGATATAAGCTGGACCTAGGGTATGCTGCGCCCTCCCTCTATGGATGCTGTGCCCGGCCCGCCGTTCTCCTCCTCCCATCCCCAGGGGCAGATCTCGTCCTCCCCCACACAGCACATAGATGAAATCGGATTCTTTTACAGACACAACCTCCATCTGCACAGTATGTTGCTGCTCTGACCTGTGAAATCTCCAGCACAGCTGCAGTAGCCGGCTACACATTGTGCAGGTGGAGGTTGTGTCTGTAAAAGAATCTGATCTCATTTATGTGCTGTGTTGGGGGGGGGGGGAGGAGCTCTGCTGTGTGTCTTGCCAGCACTGACCTTTATCCTCTGCCCCCACTGACCCATTCCCCACTCTGATGACCCCATCCTCCACCCTGCTGACCCCTGTCCTCTGCCCCACTTACCCCATACTCTCTGTCTTGTTGACCCCTTCCTCCGCCCTACTGACCTCTGTCCTCTTGCCTGCCCCATCGACCTCTGTCCTCTGCCCCATCGACCTCTGTCCCTTCTGCCCTGTTGACCCCTGTCCTCTGCCCCACTGACCCCTGTCCACTCTGCCCTACTGACATCTGTCCTTTGCTTCACTTACCCTGTCCTCTGTCTTGCTGACTCCATCCTCCACCCTTCTGACCCCTGTCTTCCGCCCCGCTGACCCAGTCTTCTGCCCCGCTGACCCTGTCCTCTATCTTGCTAACCCCATTTTCCACACTACTGACCCCTGTCCTCTGCTCTGTTGACCCCTCTCCTCTGCCTTGCTGACCCCATCGTCCACCCTGTTCACCCCTGTCCTCTGCCTCACTGACCCCTGTCCTCTGTCTTCCTGACCCTATCTTCCACCCCACTGACCCCTGTCCCTCCTGACCCCATCCTCGACCCTATTGACCCCTGTCCTCTGTCTTCCTGACCCCATCCTCGACCCTATTGACCCCTGTCCTCTGTCTTCCTGACCCCATCCTCCACACTATTGACCCCTGTCCTCTGTCTTCCTGACCCCCATCCTCCACCCTACTGACCCTTGTCCACTGCCCCACTTACCCCATACTCTCTGTCTTGTTGACCCCTTCCTATTCCGCCCTACTGACCCCTGTCCTCTGCCCTGTTGACCCCTGTCCTCTGCCCTGTTGACCCCTGTCCTCTGCCCTGTTGACCCCTGTCCTCTACCCCCGTTGACCCCTGTCCTTCTGCCCCGTTGACCCCTGTCCTCTGCCCCTTGACCCCTGTCCTCTGCCCCGTTGACCCCTGTCCTCTGCCCTGTTGACCCCCTGTCCCTCTGCCCCGTTGACCCCCTGTCCTCTGCCCCACTGACACATCTGTCCTTTGCCCCACTGACCCTGTGCTCTGTCTTGCTGACTCCATCCTCCACCCTTCTGACCCCTGTCTTCTGCCCCGCTGACCCTGTCCTCTATCTTGCTAACCCCCATTCTCCACCCTACTGACCCCTGTCCTCTGCGCTGTTGACCCCTGTCCTCTGTCTTGCTGACCCCATCGTCCACCCTGTTCAACCCCTGTCCTCTGCCTCACTGACCCCTGACCCTTTCTCTGTCTTCCTGACCCTATCTTCCACCCTACTGACCCTTGTCCTCCTGACCTCATCCTCCACCCTGTTGACCCCTGTCCCCTGCTCCACTGATCCCCTGTCCTCCTGACCCATCCTCGACCCTATTTGACCCCTGTCCTCTGTCTTCCTGACCCCATCCTCCACACTACTGACCCCTGTCCTCTGTCTTCCTGACCCCATCCTCCACCCTACTGACCCCTGTCCACTGACCCCCCACACTCTCTGTCTTGTTGACCCCTGTCCTCTGCCCTGTTGACCCCTGTCCTCTGCCCTGTTGACACCCTGTCCTCTGCCCTGTTGAGCCCCTGTCCTCTGTCCCACTGGACCCCTGTCCTCTGTCCTGTTGACCCCTGTCCTCTGCCCCACTGACCCTGTCCTCTGCCCTACTGACCCCTGTCCTCTGCCCTACTGACATCTGTCCTTTGCCCCACTGACCCCTGTGCTCTGTCTTGCTGACTCCATCCTCCACCCTTCTGACCCCTGTCTTCTGCCCCGCTGACCCTGTCCTCTATCTTGCTAACCCCATTCGCAACGCTCCACCCTACTGACCGCCCTGTCCTCTGTCCTTTCCTGACCCTATCTTCCACCCTACTGAACCCTTGTCCTCCTGACCTCATCCTCCTCACCCTGTTGACCCCTGTCCCCTGCCCCACTGACCCCTGTCCTCCTGACCCCATCCTTGACCGCTATTGACCCTTGTCCTCTGTCTTTCCTGACCCCATCCTCCACCCTACTGACGCCTGTCCTCTTTCTTCCTGACCCCATCCTCCACCCCCTACTGACCCCTGTCCTCTGTCTTCCTGACCCCATCCTCCACCCTACTGTCACCTGTCCTCTGTCTTCCTGACCCCATCCTCCATTCTACTGACCCTCCGGTCTTCTGTCTTCCTGAGCCCATTTTCCACCCTACTGACCCCTGACCCCTCCTCTGTCTTCCTGACTTCATCTTCCACCCTACTGACCCCTGTCCGCCTTTCCTCTGCCCCACTAACCCCCC